GAGATCTAGAAGACCTCTTTATAAGAAAGGAGGAAAACTGAACTTACATAAGTGCATCCTTATGTAAGTTCAATTTTTGTTTTCATTACTGACTAATTAATTAAGCAAAGGATCAAATAAATCTTCGGCACCTTTATGCAAATTCACTTTACTGGACTTTATCATCTATAAATACAGCTTCTAAATTCTAGATCACAAGGGCTCTGTTAAAGATCAAGCAGCAATAGATATCTAGTGCCTTGATCAATGTTGATAGAACATCAACTGGCCGTTCTAGGCCATTAGCCGATAATCGGATTGCCGCCCCAATAAACAATGCCAATGATTAATAATTATTTTTTCACAATTGAAAGCCGCAAAGCTTCGAGAGAGTGAAGGTTGTATTTTTTGAGCTCCGCCGATTCAGTCTATAACTACGGAAATAATTATCCTGCAGTCTTAAAAGTAGTTGATTTAGATAACAGAAGCAGCAAGGATTACGGTGATACAAGATTTTCGGCTGTATGACAAATAGGCATTTAATTACGGAATTTTTCAAGATTTTACTAATTGTGTTAGCATTACAGTGCCATTTTCACCGTCCTGACCAGCTCTGTGGACCGCTACAAAACAACTGCAAGTCGGATCAGCTCATTTTTAATACCATTGAATAGCCCAGGTTTTTCACTTTAATTTGGAATAAGTTTAACGTCATTTGGTTAAGTAGTAATTTAAATATGAATTAATTACTGTTTTCAAATAGTGTATTTGAAGCAGCTTCAACACTAGCGACCGTTAGAATACCGTTGGGTGATTCACCACCCAAAGGAATTCGCATCCGGCTGAAAAAGTAGGTAGTGGCCTAATTACCACCATCTGCCTAATTAGACTCCTAATTACTGAATCAACTTAATTCCAACAGCAAACATCCTTTCTACTAATAAGAAGTAAAAGTTCGAAATTTCATAAAAAATTCGACCAATTAGAACCAAAGTTACTAATTTGCGGCATTAATTATTGGACTTACAAAAATTCAAGAAGTTAGTATGAAAAACTGAAGAAGATAAGCGTCTAATATATACACAGAAGATAAGCATCCAAGTGCCAGTGTGAGTTGTGTTTGTGCAAGTGCTATTCTGGTTCATTAGTGCTAATTGGATTACTGTTCCTGCTTTACAGATGAAAAACAGAGAAGATAGCAGCCAAGGTAGGACAGCCTGACATTATAATTAATTTATTAATCGCAGATTAACCAACAGGTTGGCTTCAGCCAATACCTTGACACTATTTACTACTCAAAATAGGTGTCTAGTATCCTCAGGTTTTACACCGGAAACTCGATTAATTATAAAAGTGTCTACGTAAATATGTGTTAATTAATGATGTATTGTTATTCACATGCTGATTAATTACCGCTAAATTTTTCATAACTTCGCAAAAATGGTGCGATTTTAATAATTCTCAAAATGCCTAGAAGGCTCCTGTTACCCATCCCATTAACTTGACTGTGTATTTAAGTATAGTGCTTAAATTGGTAATTGCGTTAATTACCGGTATAGTCTTATTGCACTCTTGTATTTTATAATTTTATAGGCTTCTGTATAGACAGCGGCACTTTAATTGTACTCTAGGTTCCCGGCACCTTTGAACAATGCTAATTGCAATTAATCTAATTACCATATTTTAAGTCTTTAATTATTCATTTAATTAAGTTATTTATAATTTGTATACATTTCACTGTTAATTTGATTAATGTCCTTTATACAACTTAAAAGGCTTCTTCAAATGTTTATTAGTAAGTGTAAATTAGTGTGCAAAGTAGTGCTAGTAGTGACTGTGTTCAATTCAGTGATCAGCGAATTGTGCAAAATAGTGTAACGCGAACTTTCCATTTTTTATTGTAACGAATTTCTAGTACCACTGAATAGACTCTTTACAATAACTGCCATCACGGTGCTCCCTTCAAATCATGCCACGTCCTTCGGCCCTTACAACTGACGGAGAATCATCTGACACACAAAGTACCTTAGACGCTTCTAAGAAATTGGCTTCAGATCTGCCTTACGTAGAAAAGATTTCCATTTTTTACGAAGACATCCGACAGGTAACGACCACTAAAAGAAACGCCAAATTCCTCTTACCAACTGAACTCCGTGCTCGCCTCCTAGACTCTCTGGCCGCATTACAAACGCTGGCCATAAAAGGACCAGACTTTATACCAAAAACTGCCAAAGTCGATACCGGAGTCAATACCTCAACCGTGCTTTGTTGCGAATTAGCACATTCTCAGCAACATCCGACTTCGGAACAGCATTCTCAACAGGCCTCAACACCACCACCAACTGCCACCCGACCGACATTTGCTGAGATCGTCAGGAAAACAAAGACACAAAGCCTTTTCATACGGCCGAAACCCGACATTACAGAAGCGGAACTAAGAACGCAGCTCAACGCCAAAGTACCCCTCACGAAGATTCAGGTTGGAATAGACAAGATTATCAGAAGTAACAAAGGCGGCATTGAAGTAATCTGTAACACCAGCGACGATGCCACAGCTCTCGAGCAGCACATCAAGCAAAAAGAAATCCCGGCGGAAATCAGTAGACCTTCGGAAGCGCAAGCCAAGATGTGCAATTCACGACCTGCCAGAGTCTACAAAACCCGAGGAAGTGCTTGAGGAAATCAGCGCTGCTACAAACATGCCCAATAACACCTTCAAGCCCCTCCACCGTCTCAGAGAACGACGTAAAGGAAAAGTCAAGTGGGTATTCGAATGTGAGCCCACAAGCTTTAGTGCCATCATGCAGCAAAGGAAGATCTTCTTGGGATGGCAGGCCCACAAAGTCACAGAGTACTCTGGCATCAAGAGATGCTACAGATGTCAGCAGTACGGGCATACGCAGGCAGACTGCAAAAGCCAAAAGCAATACTGTTCATTCTGCGCTGGAGAACATGGGGTTTGGGAATGCAATGCACATCAACCGCAGTGCATTAACTGCGGGGACGCAAACTCACGCTATGGATCAAGACATAATTTTACCCACCCAGCCTACCACCCCGACTGTCCGCAGTACCAGCGAAGAGTGCAGACCATCAAAGACAGTACAGAGTACTAGAAGCCTGCCAGCGCCTTTAATGCGCTCAACAGCAACCTCACGTCCCGACGAAAGTTTCCAAAAAATAAATACGGCTAATATAGCACAGAGCCCAATTGCATTCCTACAGATAAATTTACAGAGGGCACAAGCAGCGACAAATAGAGCAGTAGCATTTGCCATCGAGCACAGTATCGACTTCATTCTAGCACAAGAACCGTACACACGAAATGGCCAAGCAGTGGGATTCCCACTTAAATGGACGATATATCAGCAGCAAGAGAAGACGCACGCAACCGCCCCGCGCTATCCTAGTATGTTGTCAACCTAACTGGACTCCTCTGATTATTGAGCAGCAAAGAGACTTAAGTGCAGTCCTTCTTCAAGCCAGCAACTTCTCACTTCTTCTCATTTCGCAATATGCTTCCCCAGCTGAGGATTTAGAAACCACGATTGAACTAGCACAGTCAGTTCTCCAACGAACCAAGCTGTCAAACGTCATCATAGCTGGAGATTACAACGCTCATCATACCAACTGGGGCTACAACAGTACCGACACCAGAGGAAGACAACTTGAGGATTTCATATCAACACATAATCTCATTCTCCATAATTCCATAGATTCTCCACCAACCTTTGACAGAATTTTTGCTGTTGGCTGGCCGGATTTGACCCTCTCTACGGTGCCGATAGCACAGCATGTGCAGGACTGGAAGGTAGAAGAAGCTGATAGCTTATCAGACCACAAATTTATCACCTTCAAACTCAATAGCCTACCACAAATAGAAATTATTAAACGTTATAACATGCCATCAAATAAGAAGCGACAGTTCTCTCGGAAAATTGATCAAAGATTAAGCAATCTAACCCCAGTCCTAAAAAATGCCAATACACAAAGTGATATGGAATCGCTAACCGACGACATCATGAAAATTCTTCATGACACCTGCGAAGAGCTCTTACCAACAAGATCCAAAAAGAAATTAAACGCCACTAACTGGTGGAACACAGAGCTCACCATCCAACGGAAAAAATGCCGTGCGCTCAGACGCAGATTAAAGCACGAACGGCGTAATGAAATCCAGAGCACTACCCTACCTATCTTTCAAAGAGCGAGCGAGCATTATATAAACGGCTAATAATCAAGGCCAAGATCCATTCCTGGCAAAAATTTTGTACTGAAACGGAAGGAATTTACGGGCTGCACCACAAAATAGCCACTAACAAGCTCTTTAAACCCGTGCGTCTTCAATTCATACCATCAGAGCAATCACTAATTACGGAAGAATCCACCAAAAATACGCTAGAAAATATCCTGGACCATGTCTTTAGTCAAGATGACAATTCTGACGACTCGGAATATCATAAATCTCTACGCAGTAACAAATCTACTCCGTCTACTGCAGACGATCCAGACTTCACCATGCAGGAAGTTTTACAAGTCCTGAAACTCCTTCCCAATAACAAGGCACCGGGACCAGACGGGATAAGCTATCAAATCATCAAAACAGCAATAAGAGCATCTTTGCCACTTTTTATAGCCTTCTTTAATAAGCTGCTACAAACAGGTACGTTCCCAAAAGCATTCAAGGTCGGCCAGGTCGTATTATTCCTAAAAAAGGATCGCGATCCTTCAGATCCATCCTCGTACCGACCGATCTGCTTACTTTCGGCTCTCGGAAAAGTATATGAGAAGCTTCTAATGAATCGCTTACGACACCACTTAGAAAGAGGCCAATATCTACACCCCAAGCAATATGGATTTCGAACAGGGTCATCAACACTGCATGCACTCCACGATATACATTCAGCTATACACGATAATCGCAACCACGGCTATCATACTGCTCTAATCAGTATAGACCTGAAAAGTGCATTTGATATGCTGTGGTGGCCCTCAATTTTAGAAGCACTCAGAACAGTTCAATGTCCACGCAATATTTTCCTTACTTTGCGACATTACCTAACGGACCGTTGCCTTCTAATAGTGCACGACAGTGGGATTATCAAGCGTACCCAAACCAGAGGATGTCCACAGGGGTCCTGTGCAGGCCCCCATTTGTGGAACGCAACCTTCAACTCAGTCCTAAAATTCACACTGCCAACGCATTCCTCCATATTCGCATATGCAGACGATGTTGCTCTCTACTTGTCCGAGGACGTACTAGAGCAGAATTGGAGGCCAACTCAAACGAAGTTTGCAATCTATTCTACCAGCAATGCAACAGACAAAAACTCCAAGTAGCAGAGCACAAATGTCAAATTCTACTAATCGCAAAGAAGGGAGGATCACTGACTAGAAGACCGACAATCCGCATCAACAATCGTCGAATTAAAATTGTCCGTGTCCTGAGATACCTCGGTCTATACATAGATGAAAAACTGACATGGATGCCGCACATACTTAATTTAAGGAAGCGTACAGCAATCATAGCACAGCATTTCAGAATGCAACGCGGATTTCATTGGGGGATTAATTCTCACATACAAAAAGCGTTATATCTTACTGTCGTCGAGAAGATGGTGTCCTATGGAGCGGCCATTTGGGCCTTCCCTATGCAGGGAAGGAAAATCCGGCACCTGTCTGCACTACAGAGGCCCTTCCTACTCTCAATTACAAGAGCCTTCAGGACAACATCTACTGATGCACTAAACATCTTGGCAGGAGTGCTACCACTTCATCTACGCATAGAAGAAGAAGCGGTGACACAACAGGTTCATCAGTTAAGACTTTCACTTACTTATGATTACGTTACCTTCTCTCAAGAACAGTTTGAGAATAAGACCTCACAACTTCATATACACCCAGCAATCAAGGGTATTGGAATTCACCTCACGAAGAACCCAGCATATGTGGCACCATCCGGCTACATCTCCATCTACACAGATGGTTCTCGTATTGACGAAAAGGTAGGCAGCGCCTTTGTCGTGCTCAGTGAACAACAACAACCCCTTCACCAATGGCAGATGCAGCTCAGCACTGAAAACAGCGTTTTCCAGAGTGAAGCACTCGCCATTCACGAGGCCATACGCTTACGAATAATAAAATCTCCAAAGCCTTAATACATACAGATAGCCTGTCTTCTATGCAAGCAATTGCCAATTCAGAACATACCTCCCGCAAATAGCAGGCATTCAAAAAAGTCTACGTGAAAATGCTCACAATCATTACGTCATAAAATGGATTAAAGCGCACACAGGTATTTATGGCAATGAACTTGCAGACGGCCTGGCAAAAGACGCCGCCACTGGGAACAACATTACTACAGTACAGATCCCATGGCCTACCTCATATCTAAAAAAGACCTTACGGCAAATTGTTTGCAATAAATGGCAGCAGGAGTGGACGAACAGCTTAACCGGCAGAAGAACTTTTTACTTCAAGCCAAAAGTAGATTTACAAAGACTTATCGCCAGTCCCCTCTTGGTACGTTACATATCCGGTCATGGCCCCTTCCCACAGTACTATCATCGACACGCTATCACCAGCACTGACGAATGCATCTGTGGCGAAGAGGGCACAGCAGACCATTACATCACTGCATGTCCCCTTACAGAGGACCACCATATTGCCATTCCTATAACGGATAGGCAGGCCTTCTGCAGGTTCCTCGTTAAGCATAAGCCAACAATACGCCAAATCACTGCCGTCATGTCAAAGCTAATGACACTTGGCACAGAATTGTGTCAAACTGCTTAATGTAACTTATGGTGTCAAGCAGCATAGTGACTACTACATAGGAATCACAAATTTATGCATGTACTATGCCTATTTTTCACATCAGACTATTTATATACAGACTGCAACCCAATCTGCAGATTACCTTTCCTTGTGCAATTAGTAATGTTACAATATTTCAACATAGTGACATTTTCTGCATGTATATTACATGCAAATTAATATCACCTGCATTATATAATAATGTGTGTAGTATGTGAAATGCAGGTTTGTAATATGCACTATGTAAAACTTGGCACAGAATTGTAAGAAACTGCTTAATGTATCCTTCAGTAATTGTAAACTGTACTATTTAATGTGTGTAATATGTACCATGCTAATATTGTAGTAATATGTACCATGCTAATATTATTATATATGTACCATGCTAATATACTAAGTAATTGTAAACTGTAAATGCGTGTGTAATATGTACCATGCTAATATTCTAAGTAATTGTAATCTGTAAATGTGTGTAATATGTACCATGTCTCAGTAATTATGTGTGTAATATGTACCATGTCTCAGTAATTGTGTGTAATATGTACCATGCTAACACTCTCAGCACTTAAACTTAAGCACTATGCAATCTCTCACTAAATGTTTAATGTACTATGAAATGTGTGTTATATGTACCATGCAAGTATCAATTAATATTATTAACTATTAATGAACTTCTTAGTAAATATAATCAGTCTTATGTAATGTATGTACTATCTATCATGCAAGTCTGTAAATAATAATGAATGCATAATGTTAACCTAAGTACCTAATTAAGTATGATTACGTAAATATGAACTCAACGGATGCAACGTACCTTAAACATAAGTTATATTCAATTTCCAGGTAAACGCAATATATAGTATGTAATGTGTAAAATATATACCATGCAATATGAATGTTTATGTATCATACAAGCCTGGATTTGCAAGTCTGAACGTATTAAGTACTTTAAAGACAAGTATTCATCAATCACTCAATAAATGTAAACTGTACTATAATAAGCAAGTAATATGCACCATGCAAGTATTAATTAATATCATAAACTATTAATTAATTTCTTAGTAAATGTAATCAATATTATGTAATGTGTGTACTATGTACCATGCAAGTCTGTAAACAATAATGAATGCATAATTATGTTTAATTAATATTAAAATATTGAACCTTGCGGATGCAACGTACCTTAAACATAAGTAAAAACAATTTCTGAGTAAATGCAATATATAGTATGTAACGTGTGAGAATATGTACCATGCAATATGAATGTATATGCATCAAGCAAGTTTGAATAGGGTATAGAACATATAATAGTCATGCAAGTCAGAATATGGTAATAGGTAAATGCAATTCTGCAAGTCTGAACATAACGAAATTAAGTACTATTAAGTTTCTCAGTAATTGTAATCTGTACTATTTAATGTGTGCAACATGTACCATGTTAATATTATTGTAATATGTAACATGCTAATTTTCTCAGCAATTGTATTTTTTTTTTTTTAACTGTAAATTGTAAATGTGTGTAATATGTACCATGCAAATATACCCCATGTCTCAGTAATTGTGTGTAATATGTACCATGTCAATATTCACAGTACTATTTAATGTGTATAATATGTACCATTCTAATTAATTAGCATGCACTATTTAATGTGTGTAATATGTACCAATGTGTGTAATATGTACTATACAAACTGTAAATAATAATTAATGCGTAAAGCCAACCTATGTGCGAACCTAAGAACCCAACTATACATACTTATAGTAAGAATTGAATCAAACAGGTGTAAAGTACCTTAAACATAAATATTAAGTACCCTAAACAAAAGTATTAATCAATCTGTCAGTAAATGTAAACTGCACTATGAAATGTGTATGATATGTATGATATGTACCATGCAAGTATTAATTAATATTATTAATTAATAATTAAATTCTTAGAAATGTAATTTGTATTATGTAATGCGTGAACTATGTACAATGCAAGTCTTCTCAGTAAATATAAGCTGTACTATGTAATGTATATAATATGCACCATGCAAACCTGTAAACAATAATGAATGCGTAGTGTTAAACTGTGTGTTAACCTAAATACCTAAGATGTAAAGTACATTTAACATAAGTATTAATCAATCTCTCTGTGTGTAATATGTACCATGCAAGATTGTAAATAATAATGAATGCATAGAGTTAACCTAAGTATCTAATCATGTATAATTAACGTAAATATTGAATCTTACGGATGCAAAGAACCTTAAACATAAGTCATATTCAATTTCCCAGTAAATGTAATGTGTAATATGAAATGTGTGAAATATGTACCATGCAATATGAATGTAAATGCACCATGCAAGTATGAATAAGCAAGTCCGAATATGGTACGGCATGTGTAATAGGCGTGAAAGTCAGAGTATGGCAATATGTACCATGCAAGTCTGAATGGGTAGCGATAACCTAAGTACCTAATTATGTCATTCTAGATAAGGGCGGGCGTGGTGCTCATACCAATTAACCGTAACGGTAGAGGGATGGTGCCCACGTCCTCCGTCACTCACTCACTCACTAAGTACTTACATATGACACATTGTATAACAAGTACTGACATAATATGACAAGTATTTACAATGAATTTGAAATATTTAGGTATCGCGGAAGTCCGGCCGCCCCTGATTTTCGAAGCCCGCTTACTTTTACGCTCTCCACCTTCACTAGGAACGGCCCTGCATCATAAAGATACTTGCACACCTGTGCAAATCGTTGTTGTTTGATAATCCTTGTTACCTAAAGAAATTGTTACCTGCCTTGAAGACGAGCGTCCCTGATGAGTATCATTTTCTAACTTCAGAAAAGCACTCTTCATAAAAGTGCATACTTATGTAAGTTCAATTTTTGTTTTCATTACTGACTAGCAGTGGAGTAGCTAGGGTGGGGCAAGGGAGGACATCTATCCCCGGGCGCAGAATTCAGGGGGCGCGAAATTGATGTTACGAAATTTTAGAATGAAATGTTTTCCGTTCTTGACACAGAGAAAGGGGCGCAAAATCTTCGGTTGTCCCCGGGCGCCGAAAACCCTAGCTACGCCTCTTCTGACTAATTAATTAAGCGAAGGATCAAATAAATCTTCGGCACCTTTATGCAAATTCACTTCACTGGACTTTGTATAAATGTACCCTTTGAGAAATGTGTGACGAGCGTTTCCGTAGAAAGATCTTGTTTTTCACAAAAGTGCCGAAAATTAATTCCATCCACTGCATCATTAATTAATTAATCTGCAATGCAAATGAAAACCCCATTCGCATAAAGAGACCTGCCTTAAATTGTCCGTATCCTTACAGAGGTTGCATTTTTCAAAATTACAGATTGATTTTTTGTAAGGTTCACATGCCTTTATGCCAAGGCACCCTTACAAAGAATTTTATTTTTTCGAACAGCGATCGATCTTTATAAAGGTGTATTCACCATTATATCTGGGTGCTATTATGAAGGTGTCTCTAAGAACCACCGCAAAAAAATACCATACATCGCAGATTATCATCGCAATAACTGGGCACATTGCAGATAAAATTAAAGAAAGGCAAGGTGAGCTGCATAATATCCATTGATTCTAGATACTCCTGTTGGAGCCACAATTGCATATATGTTTGTGCATTTTAATTTTGGTATAAGCATATACACAGCTTCCATAACATGCGACCCATCCTCCTATATACCAGGTGTTTCGGTTGATCTTTGCCATTTGACATTCTATATTCTTACCCTGAAGAGACCATGTTCATTGAAACAGGTTCTGATGCAAATGTGCAAACATTAATATTATGATACACATGTGGTTGGGCACCTTTTCCCATATATTCTTACAGTGGCTCCTCCATTGCCGTCAGCTGTTTGATACACGACGAGTGAATGTCTGCAAACTCTGAATTCGTAAAACGGTATATACTCTGTGGTTGGAATCAGAAAGCTCTCCAAGTGCCTGCCTACCAGGAGCACTGGTACTAAATACAGATTTATCTGTTTTTCCATTTCTGGCCTTGTTGCTCCATATAAATACGGTTTATTTCGTTTGATTTTTATTAAAGATGAGTCAGCCTGTATATATAACAGAAAGATGAATTGTATTTTGCGATGCATATGAGAGGTTATCTTTAAAGTGGGGGAACTTAACAAAGCAAGGTTATTCGTAATTATGTCATAACGAAAAAAAATGTTTTTTTTTAATATTATATAATCCTAACTAATATTATAAATGCGAATGCGAGTTTGTTTGTGCGTTTGTTTATTACCCTTTCACTTTTTAATTACTTAACCGATCACCATGAAATTTTCAAGAAAGATGAGAAAAGGT